GTGAAGTCAGAAAGATGTGTTTTCCTACAGATAAACCGGGGCTGATCCCACCACGCCAAGGCTGGCAGGGTTTGACCCCAGGCCCCCTCTGCATAGATGCCCCGGAGCCCAACATACGTGTGTCCAGCTGGCATTCAGCATTAGAGGTAAAGCCACAAATGCAACGTGAAGAGGATTTCCCTGTTGTTAAAACCTGCTCCTCTGCAGTGCTGTTCTCAGTGTGACCAGTAACTGTGTGCCTTTTAAGTTGTTTCCCACTCAGCTACCACCTAGCGTATCGGTGTGGTTGGGGAAACCTCCTAAACGCCTTAATGCAATTTGGGCAGCCAAAATCCAAGCAAAAATCCCAGCAATCTGGACACATCTATCACTTCCTTCAGCTGCTTTGAAAAATCACCACAAACAACACTGCAAAGTAAAAGCACTAAGTAGTGGGGTATTCTGCAAGAAAAAAGCCCCTGTCCAGACCACTCCAGCCCCAAAAGAATACACATCCAATTTTTCAGCCAGTGATTGTAAAAATGATGACTCTGGCTGCTGATAGGGCTGAGGGGATGATGTGACCCGTGCAGTTCATTAGTGATGCGACAGCACCCCCGCCAGCCAGGCCCAGTGCGCAGCGCCATGCCAGGACCTGCTAACGTGCTGGAGATGCATGTCTGGGAACCTCTCACAGCAAGTTTTTGCCCTTGCTGTCACCGGTACAGCTCCATCACCGGTAGCTATGGGGGCAGACTCATCTCGCTGAGCTTGCTGATCTGAGCCACCACCAGATGACAGCTTGCCCCTCTTCTCCAGCTGCAACGACTGCACTGGTACCTCCCCGACTGCAGAAGACGCAGCAACAGATGGATCTTTGCACAAGCTTCTGCCCCTTACCTTAAAGTAAGGTCTGTGCACCGTCCTCCCAGCTGTTTCGACAGATTTACTACCTCACTACAAACAGCAGAGAAAACTGTTGCTAGCCACATAGAAAGGTGTATATACCTCTTTTAAATTACTATTTTCCAGAAGGTTCTGGAGTCTGTTTCCTTTAAACACAAATCAAAGGAAGAATAGAGAAGTGAAATTAAGTCTGTACCAGGCAACTTCTGGCATGGTGCAGCGCCAGTTCAAAATGAGCTCTTTTGCTATTGTTTATCAAATTCTAAAACTAACTGTACTATTTTATCGAGTGCTATCAAAACCTGTAAGCTATACATATTAAGTAAATTACATCCTGATGTTACATGCTGGTGAAGTTACACACTGCGTCTACAGTGGGTCTGCACGAGCAGCCCCATGCAGACCATGCGGTCGGGTGCAGCTTTATTTGTGCAAGAGATGGATCTGAACCCTCTCCATATAATGAAAACTTGCTTTGATGAGGGCTCTGTTGGCTACGCCATCGGAGCACGCCTGAAAAGCGAGAGGTTTCCGCTGCAACAGACAGCAACCGCAAGCAGCAGAGGTCTCTTGCATGAAGAGCAACTTCTCCCTCCCCGTGTGAAGCAGCCTTTGCAGACACAGAATTCAGCCTTTTAGATTAGGTGACTAAACAACTGTAAGAACACAACTGGTTTAGATAACCTGCCTCCCCATCTAACACTGTGCTTTAAAATACATTGATTTAAAAAAAAAAACAAAAGACATAAAACCCAACCACAGGCATCAGTGCTGCTGGCCTCCTGAAGAGCTCCACCTCTCCCACAGCTCTGTACTCTCCTGCCCCTTGCCCATCAAAAACGTATTTCACAAGCAGTGGAAAAATAATTCCATTGATGGCAATAATTGCGTTTTTCAACAGACCCCTGTGTAGGAATATGCCTGACTTCAAGGTTCATCTGTTTTTACCCTTTTCCTTCCTCAGCAGAAGAGCAGTAAGATGCGTAATGGAAGGATTAAGCTGTACTAGAAGCTTCGCAGCACAGCACGCTTTATTCCTCTTGGACTGACTGGAGATAAACCTTGGTTTTGCTCCCACACAAGGTACGTGCCAGCTTTCAGGTTTTAAGAACTTCAGTGCAGCCAGCAAAGGCAAACGGTACGATGGAGTGATGCTCTTCCAGCTAAGTACAACCAGCTCTGCAACAGACACTGCTATTTGGCAGCATTCAGCTATTCAACAATGTTACTTAAGGCAAAGACTACACGTTATACCGCATGAGCTCTGAACCTCTAACCTGAGGCTTAGTGAATAACATTAAAAGAAGCTAAAATGTGTTAAATACCATCCTACTATTATTGATATAAGCACACAATCTACGTAATGATGAGAGGCATGGTCTAGAATACAAACAGTAACAGAACTCACCCCAAACATCACAGATACCCAAGGAGCCACTTGCTTAACAATCTCTAAGGTGCTAAGGCACCTAGGGGTCTCCTAGCTTCAGCCAAAGTGTCGGGCAGGCAAGAGAAAGAACAGAACAGGATCAAATTTAAGTTTCCCAAACTGAGCCAAAGACAGAATTATCCATGATGAAACTTGGCTAAGACAAATGATTCTCTCTGCTGCTGTCCTTCATCATCATTATCTCTCCCTGCTTTCTTTCCTCAAAAGTAGTATTAAAAAAAAAAAAAAAAAAAGATAGAGAGAGGGGTCTGTTTTTCATTTTAAGATGAATGTATTTTCTGTTAGGTTCTCTAGAAGTGCATTGATACAATTTTTTGGCTGGGACATGCAGTTAAATACTGGCCATGCAGCAGAAACACAGTGCACCAGCAACAGCAATCCCACAGCATAGGCTTTAATTACAAATACTTGTGCTTAGAGCTCCTTGTGCCACAACACCTCACACACTGTCTCCAGCTTCAACTGCTAAAACGATGTTGTGTCATCAGTTGTCCTAAAAACTGGTTTTTTTCAGTGAAATGACCTAACCAGAGCGCCAGATGAGCTGAATCGTGTCTTTACACCACCTCCTGAAGCTATAATTTGCTTGTGAGGAGGGCATCAGGAAATAACAATTTACATAAACATATTTTAAAATAAAGTTATTCTATTTTGGTTTTATTTCTCAATAGTATTTATCTACCATGGTTGACTTACAACATTAATACCAAGATTAGAAATATTGTCTCTCATAGTTTGCTTTGACAAATTATGCTTCTTTATTCTCAAAGATACCCACATATGCCTCTGAAGCCTGAAATAATTTTAACAACTCTAACACAAATGCCATCATCTGTTCAAACTATGCCAGAGGAAACTTAGGTGGAGGTACCACCTGTAACATGAACGTTTGCCTGCTGATTGATCAAATGACCAAACAGTTCCTCAACCATCTCCAGTTTGGCTCAGTCACGTGAGTTTAAGAAGTCTTTCAGTTAATTCAGTCTAATGTCTAAATCAATAGTACAGAATACAGGACCAAAAAAAAGTTTAAAATACTGTAGGTCTACCAGTAAAAGGAGACTGAAGATGCTCCCAGCTTCAACAGCCTTTTTTTTTTTCCCCATCCCTTTATGAGACTTCACTGAAACAACTGGACAGCAGAGCGCAGTAGAGTTTAGTGCAGAATGTCGGTTCCAAATTCAACAGTAACAAAGACAGAGCCAAGGCTGGCACTGCTCTCCATACAGTTGTTCTGAATTAGGCTTTTTTTCAGAAATGAGATTCTTCGTTATCCCTTTGAAACCACAGGCTGGTAGGCAAGTATCTTTCAGCCAGATAGCAAGCAAGCATTTACTCCCTTCTTACGGGTAAAGCAACCACAAAAATCTTTCTATATTAGCAGGAATTGTTCCTTCATGCCACAGACCAGAAAATCCAAGATACGCCCAACTAAAGCTTCTAGAAGCCACGCAGATTTCATGTGAAGTGGCACAAGAACCCCTCTCCATTTGGGTAAAGCCATCAGCCCCTCAGCGTCCCACGAGGATTCTGACAACACGGATTTCAAACTGAGGCAGCTTATCAAGGGCCATGCTGACGATTCTGAATTTCTTACTAAAAACACCAAGAAGACATCAGACTCCCTTTCCACGGGATAACTCATTTCAGTCTGCAGAATATTTTCACTTAAATTGTCAGAATTGTGATTGCTTCTTTTTCTCTGGTGATGTCTACAGAGTCTTCCGTTAAATTTCATGTCATCTATCAAAGTGTAATTATAGCTCATTGTGCTTTTTCATTCTTATTTGTCCTACAAAAATCCCATTTGGACTGAAAAGCATCAAGCATCAAATGCACAGCATTTTTCTTGCATATAGATCCTCTCAATGCTTTTAAAAGAAGCAGTCAGTGTGAAGGTTTTTATTCTTGTTCAAAAGACGGCATTATCTGCAGAATTGCATTCCAATTTCATACTTAGAATTGACTCAATTGAGACCAAAAAAAGGTGCCATTTAACAATTCAGTAACATATTTCCTGTAGTACTTAATTCTTCTCCCAGACATTCTTGGTGCTAAACTACTGTGGAGTTTCTCAATACTTTAAATATAATACTGTTCTTCAGAACAATCCTGCTGCAACCTTAATGATAGACACAGCATGATTTATTTGGATTTTATGGCCCATTAAACAAAACTATGCAAAAAGTACATACACACTTACATTAACTGGGACAACAGTCAAGACCTTTGTGCTTTATGGTCAGGGAAGCATCTGGGAAGATCAGTGGAAAAACAATGACAGCACATTTTTGAGAAGGCATACCACTTCTGAAGCATACGGTATTGCTCCCCGTCTGCATGGAAACATGGTGTGAATTCACATATTCCCACAAGGAACGGGGTTACGGAACTTCATGTATTCCTGTGTAGCAAGTCCCTCTTCTTGAAGCAGCTTGAGGTACTCGGCTTGAAAAAGCAAGAGGATATGTTCCTCCTATCTAGCCAGTATCTGCATTCAAATTTTTCAAGATTCAAAATAGCTGGATTCAAGAAGGCAGCATGCCTACTCTCTGGTAAAGTACATTCTAGCAGTTCAGAAATCTCACCACCAGATATTTGGTGCAATATCCTAGCATTGTGCCACAAACATACTTGAAGTTAAAAGAAAACCATGTCAAAAATCTTGTTCTTTATGAATTATTTTAATGAACCAAACATGAAGTGACATAAACACAGGTCAAGGAAAATAACATGAGACCAGCCCCACTAGCTGCTGACACAAGGTAAAGATAGAAGAACAGCTGAGGATGATTTGAGGGAAAACAAGAAGGTAGAGGGAGAGACACTCATTCTTGACAAGAATGTCAACCAAATCATATCATAGTTAAAATTTCATCTCAAGTGTTTAAATAAGGTCTCTGCTTTGTTTCTTAACACAGTGAGTCCACAGAAGAGTAGCGAGTGAGCTGTCCCTGAATTCATGGCAACACGTCCTACAGAGTGTATTACAAATTTCTCCAAATAATGGAGACAGAAGTGGCTAAAAAGAAAGAGAAATAAAGAAAGTGAGGACCCTTTGTTACCCAGCCTGGTCTCAAAAATGGAATGTGTTTTCTAGACCCCATAATCTTTGGCATAGGTTTCTTTTTTAATGTCTGCGTGGATGCTTTAATCCCATGACTGTGAAAGTTGCAGCAGTCAGTTTCTCATACACTAGAAACATAAGTGCAGCAGTAAGGACTGTCTGCAGGAGCTTTGCTTCAAGGCCTTTGTAGAGTCCCACTAATCCAAAACGCCTAACGAGGAGAAAAAAAACAAGAAAACAAGTGTGAATAGCTTTCTATAAGTAAATCAGTACACTACAAAGAAAAATTACTATCACAAGTTAAGTTAAAGACAACTATAAGGATCTTCAATTCATTCTTGATTTCTTGAGTACCAGCTATGTTTAATAATATTTTAAAGAGAAAATTCTGCAGAAAGTTAAGTCTTTTGTGCAAGACACTTGCTTCTTTTCAAGATGAGAGGTGAATGAATTGGTAACCACAGATATCCTTCTGTGGTTATACCACTTCCTGTACAGATTTTTAGGAGAATTTGGTTTTGTGTACTTCTTCTGTAATACATTACAAAACCCAGGCTGATTCAAATGGCAAGTTTTAGGGGGGCAAAAAGAAACAAAAGTCAGATCCGGCAACATTTTCAACACATTGGTAATACTTAAATCTTTACATAATGTTAGGAAAAAACCAGAAAGCTCACCTCACTCTCTGTTGCAGAAGATAGAGAACATTTCTAAGACTGCCTAGAGTTCGGTTCTCTGGGTTCAGCCTGTGGCGTCCAAACTGAAAGAAAGGAAGAGCATTTTGTTGTACTGCTTCCCCATGGCGCTAGGCAGGAACCCAACACATTTGTAAAATCTGAAGCGCCTATCTTCAAACTCTTTCAAGATTTTCCAGGTTATACTAGGCATCAGTGGAGAACTGAGGCCAAAGCTCACACTACTGAACTTCACACAGCAAGTATTAAATGGTATGTGCTACAATAATTTGTTTTGGTTTTAAGATGGATTCTGAGAAAGCGTTACAGATATTTGGTCTCTTTCAGTTGCTCTGAAGAAAACAGTTTTCAGGGTCTCAGAAGCGTAATTTGCAGAGTCTTAGTAGGGATATGACATTCAAATCAAGTTCTCTCTGGCTAGCTCAGCTTTCATTTAACAAAGATTCAAAGCCTCAGACACGTGCAAACTATTATTACATTGAGACTACATAGCTGACCCCGGAATTTATCTGCCCAGCAATGGTCTTGGAGTCGAACATTTACATGTGAACTGCTGTGGAAGAATCCAAAATTGTTTGATCCACCTAACCGGCCCAAATAATACTTCTCTCTCACTCACTGCGTTTGTTTATCCCCAAGCTGTTTTTCAGTAGGCATGAGAGCTGCTGCTGTAATTTTATGTCTCCAAGCTGAACTAGCAATTTCAGCAACTCATTTTCTAGCATTTATTCATACTATTATCTGATACAGGTCGATAGTACTGTCAGCAAGCTGTAACTATGAATTACTAATATACAAGGGTTGACACACTCATATTCATAACAACACAGCCAAATAGCTTTTGAATTCTGCACTATGCTTCTGCTACAAGAAAGGTGAACTTCAACTGCCTGTGGATGAGTTTTTCCCAGAACTTCCTCAGGCAACTGCTACTTCTTAGGTATCAGAAATTACCATTGACAGCAGCTAGAGTATGCAAGCAGATCTAGGCAGTTCAGAAATTGCAAGAAAATGTCAGGATGACACAAGTCCCCTTCCTGTATGTTTTAAGAACTTGGATGGAAATAGCAGCACCAGAACACTACCGGAAATCTCCCTTTACTAGGTAAATATGTACTCACAATCTACAATCTTCTCATGAACAACCAGCTCATTTGATACTGATAAATCACTGTTGGAGATTACTGTCAGACTCAGACACACCACCAAAAACCTACTAATTAGGTTCCAAGTTGCAATGTCAGCCTCTGTTCAGATTACTCATACATTTCCAAACTACACCAGGATTAGGTGTTAGGACTATTGTACTGCAAACACAGGTTCATCAAGGAACAAAAAAGTTAATTTCTCCCCAGGATGTCAATACTTCACTGATTACTGCACAAGATTTCCCAAAGGGACTAGCATTCTCTACACTACAGAAAAAAAGGCTTGCATTTTAAAGTGAACTTTTTCCCACAAAACCACCAAGAACATTAACAGTACTGCTATTTCTTCAGTGGCAAATTTAATTTATCCACTGTTCACTGACACATAGGCTAAAGAAGCACTTTCACTGCTTAACGAGTAACACCAGCGCCAGGTACTTTTAATGACTGAAAAGGAGACAGACATAGCAGATTGGCAAGGCTGGAAGGTGCTTACCACTATCAATTACACAGGGTAACTCTTCATTATATGGAAGCAAGAAGAGCGCTTTGCCAAGAAGTTGAAAGAAAAAGTGTAGAGACTTCATTACACAGAACGCTAGTAGCTTTCAAACAACAGTAAGTTTTTGAAAGTTTGAGGCTGGAAAGAAAAAAGTCTTGTACTTCTACTCTGATGACAGAACTATGATATGCAAGTTTTTATGAATTATATCAAGCTTTTATTAGCTTGTGTGTAAATCTGCTAAAATTGTTTCAGAAAACCCAAAACTATACAAAGTATATTTCGTGCAGAATGCTCTTTCTGAAAATACTAAACCTTTGTTCATAACTTTTTTTTTTTAAAACATCACAGTGTGAGTGACAAAAATTTCCTCAAATACAAAAATGCTAGGTTTAGATTAGAAAACACATTACAAAGTGCAAGTTTGAACTGGACAGCACAGGTATCACAGATGCACGTTTGTGCTGTTCTCACCAGAAGTGTTCAGGGTTTCTGACTATTGCTTCTTCCATAGAGCAAAGGGAAAGAAGTAACCCCTAGCAACTGCAGAACTGGAGACAGGGTCCTTGTATTCCCCAACGTCACAGGGAGAGGATGGACAGGCACAAAGAAGTGGCATATAGGCCACTTTACTTCACAGTGGGCCACTGTGAGAAGAATCCCACCGCCACCACCAGGACACAGCTGGTCAGCTGTGCTCTAGCAGAAAGGCCACTCATCATTGCTCAGGCAAGTGAGCAGTGAACTAGCTGACTTCAGCCGAGGCGAGCAGTGAGCAGCAGCTGGTTCGTACATCAAGCTGGCAGCACAACTTACCAGCGCCGCCCTTTTTTAAAGCGTGGCTCTGTCACCAAGAGACAGAAGAATTTTGTTCAAAAAGCCAAAAGGAGACAGATGAAACATGAAGTAATAGTCACAAGGTTGTCACATTTCTACAGCAACTATGGAAAGGAATAAGGGTTGAAGCTTTTATAATGATGCAGCCCTGTGAAAGCTGCACTGCTGTGCAATGCTAAAGTTAAAACAGAGCACTCCAACTTTCCTTCCAGTTCTCCTTCACACCACAAATTAAGAACAGACCATGTTGCAGCTTATCCAAACAAAGCTAAATTTGCTTAAATGTTTTTCTATATCTGTCACTTCAGTAAGAAAAGTCTGCGTTACTAGTTTAACTCCTGAGACGTGTCCAGGCTGTTAAAACAGGATCAGACATTGAATGAAGGCACTAGCTCAGCTCATCACCAAAAGTTATGAAAACTTCAGAAAAGATGACTGCTGACAAAACTACAATGTGGCTTGCACATCTACAATGCAGATGCCATTTTGTGCACCTTTACGGTGGTGAAGTAGAAAGCTGTGCAGACACAAATGTTTTGTGTAGCATCTTTTCAGGGCAGCAGCAACCACACAGTAAATGTATTCAGGTCCTGTTGGTTTGAAATACAGTACCAGACTATCTTTTTACAGACTACCAAAATACATTTAGTCCTCTCTAATTAGAGAGAGTAAAAAATAAAATAATCACAAGATTTGCATCCCCTATTAGACAAGTCTGAAAAGTGATACCCTTAGCATGGAAGGCTCAGATTCAAAAATTCAACTAATTCTCCACATTTATACAAGTTTTAGAACATATGTAATGGCTTTACCATACACGTAAGTTAGGGCTTCTCCTTACTTAGGAAAATAGCCTTATATTTCATGTGGAAACATTTATTAACATTTAAGTGTTATAAAAATCATCAAGAAATGTACAAAAATAGATCAAAAAGCACAGCAATTAAACTACGATATGCTTGCTCATGTATGGTCAGGTCTCTTCCCTTCCCCGCCCCTCCCCCCCAAGTTTCTCACTTCAATATTATAACAGTATTGGTACATGCTGAAGGTAGCAGCATTCCCCAGCATACATACAAATTGCAAGTAAGAAAAGGCAAGTGTTTCCATTACCACCACAATTAGTGTACAAGGCCAGGCAAGTGGTTCAAGATATTATTTATGAGGGAGCTCATCTTCCCCTGATGAATCACATTCCAGCCACTAACAAGGTCAGGCTGTCATCTGAATAAAACAAAACCTACCAATAAAACTTTTTTTGGATTACCCTAGGTCATCTGGAAACAAACTTGGTTTAGAGGATTTAATTTTGGCTTCCCGCTTGACACATTTTCTATTTATATTCAAAGTAGTAAATCTACATTTCTGTGGTGCCTAAAAGCAGTATGGTGCATCAGCTTCTGTGAGACCCTGTACCGATGCGTTATGTTGTCAATCCTACCAGCTACTGGAAACAAACGTGCACCAGTAATACCAAGTTCTATTGGAATCTGTCAGTACAGGATCAAAGAAAAGAGGCATCCTTATCAGTGACCTGCATTGTGCAAACGAGCTCCCAACATGATGGGTTCATTAATGCAAATAAAAACAAGCCAAAACAGGGCATGCATTACACAGAACAAGTCAGAGGCAGCTACCCTGAAATGAAATTATTACTTACCCGCAGAATTGACTGTACTGTCTGCAGAGGATAAGTGAGGGTGGTGGCAACTGCTTTGGCTATTGCACCAATCACAAAAGCATCCAAAGATGAGAGCTGTTCAACAGATACGGAACATATTACTTCTACATAGTACCAAAACAGCGAAGTTAGCCAGACGTGCTTAGGGATTCTGCACTGGTACCTGCTACTGGGTTATCAAACTATGTTTGGCATAGAGATTTCATGATGTCTCTGGGTCTTCTCATTTTAAAAAGTTAGTTATAATTCAACCGACTTACTTTCCCACAACTAAAGTTTATTTGTAACTTCTATCTGGTCAGAAGCTTTTGCATTTTGCACTTGCTCACTATAGCTAGGTTACTAAAACATAGTGGAGATAAAGCCATACAACTAGACCAATTTAAAGCACCAAGAGTAGATAGAAGGGAAGTACCATTTGAACATACCATCAATCCATAAGCATTTCAGCTTTTGCAACATTTAAGATAACAAGTCACATGACATTTGTGAAAAGGTGACAGTGAAAGACTCCTTGAAATCACTTTATAATCCTGAGATATATTAAAATTACTAAAATTTAAAAGAAACACAAGAAATAAATATAGCAATTAGCCATCAGGCAAGTAACAATGCAGAGGGAAGCTCAGCTCATCACTCAAAAAATGTATTATCCATAACGTAACTGTATAGACCCATCAGACACAAGCAGAGTGATATAGCTGCAGTATTGACTAAAGGTGGTAAAAAAACCCAAGCCTCAATTATGATGTGAAATCTCACATAAAAATAATTTCATTACGTCTAAAGGAAAAACAAGACGGCTTTGTAACATGTTGATACGATCTAACATTTTAATACAGCCAAATGCATTCTGAAGTCACAAATTAACAGCAAAGCACTGCAGCTTAAACATGTAATGTATTTTAGGATAATGTCATAATGTAACACAAATGCTTTTCAATCTGCTGGAACATAAAAAGAACATGAGTTCAGGTGAGCTGCTATATCTCATATAGAGAAACAAGAAAAAGAATAAAGCAGCAGACTATAAAGCAGGGACAGAAAAGTGATTCTACCTCTATTTAGAGAATCAGGGACATATGATTGCAACACTGTGTTCAATTCTAGTGTCCATCCTTGGAAAAAGTATATTGAAAAACTGATGGCTTCAGGAAAAAAAAGTGTTATTAAAATGACAATATCCAGAACAAATCTGTGATATTTCAAAGACTCAATATACTTGATTTACTGGAGAAAGAGTTAAGAGGTGACTTCAAAACAGTCTGTACGTAAATACTTATAAAGCAGATATATTAAAATTAAAATTTCTACTTGATAAATCAAGACCTATGAACAAATCTAAACAAATGTGGACAGGAGGAGCAGTTTTGTTTTTAGAGGAAGAAGAATTCATCACAAGAATATCTTCCCCAGGAACATGAAAGATTCATGTCTCAATTCATAATGATGGATCTTTTTCAGAAGATACACTAACTAAAAACAACCCTCAAAAATACAAGAATCAAAACCAAACCTACATTTCTGAATTTGCTAAAGTAACACATGTCAAAGAATGTCTTATAACAGAAAAAGTCCATCACCTGGCCTCAAAATACACTCACTTGCAGCTGCTTTTTCAACAGCTTCCGTTTAAAGCCTTCATAAAACATGAACTGTATAGCAGGATTGAAGACCAACAGCAAAGAGGGGAAAGTACCGTTCCATAAAGCCAAGACTCCTTCATCTCGTATTATCTGATGAAAGGCATCTGAGAAGAAAGGTTGGGAAAAAAAAAGTTGTTAAAATCTGGAGTACAAAATTCTGACCGTAGAAGATGAGAAAAGTTACACAGAAAGCCTAATATTCAAAGTGTATAAAAAGCCACTGCCGTCTTTCTACGCTACTTTTTTTTTATCTTCCACTCTAATCTGGAAGTTAACAGAAAAATAGTGACAAAAGAAGTTCTTGCTCACACCACCACTAACAAACAAAAGCTTATCATCTGCACAGACACCCTGCTCTTTTTAGTACAAGCTCAGCATCAGCATTAAGGTCTTCTAGACCTTGTTCAAAACGACAACAATATTGATCTACTTATTTATTTTTAAAAGGAAGACACTCTGAACATGTGGGTGATTAAGAGATTAAGGTGAGTGAAGTTTAATTTGCAGATTGTCTGTCCAAATTCAGACTCCCAGCTATCACCTCACTATGACTGCAGGATTTGTTATAATAAAGATATCTGCCTTTGCAAGAGGTATTTTAGTTACAGGTGTGCTTACTACAAACTCTTAATTACCATCAGATGTGGCCAAGTCCAGTTTCCCATAAAACTCAACGACTGCAAAGTGACAGCAAAGCACAGAGATTCCAAGCTGAATTCCACTATATGAATACAAGTCTTAACTTCAGAGTCCTCAATTTAATTTTCATTTAATGACCTTCTCTTTGGTTGAAGACAACAACAGGTGCTTACCTATTATGCCTTTATAATTGGTTGGTACAATGTCTTCATTTCTAAATTTTGCTCCCTGCAGCTTCAGACGTGTGTTTACTACCCAAAGAGGAGTGGTCAACAGGACATTCACTACACCTAATGCAAAACACAGCACAAAGATAATCAGCCAGAACCAGAAGATTTCAATGTTTTCTTATCCCCTTTTACCCCAGTTCACATACTACTGAAATAACTAGTAAGAAGAGGGAAAAAAACTAACACAGCATAACAGCAAATGTAAACTTGTAATTTGTAACAAGCTACTTCAGGTATTCCCTCTACAGCTCCACCATGAATTAGTTGTCAGCAGACTGCTTGCAGTGGGAAGACATTTCTTCTACTCCTCCCCAAAATTAAAAAAAAAAGCAACCAAACAATAAAACACATCAAATATGAACACACTGAAGGAATCTCAAATGAACTTGTTACTTTGCTGCATACTAGACCACACTGGAGCACAAGATGCTCTACCTTTTCATGCCCTACTTCACTCCGTGATGACTTGCTTCCTGCTTACTTTCAGAAAGAAACAGTGATAAGGTTGGAAGGATTATTTTAGGAGGAAAGATCAAAACAGATGAATGCATGCAGCTTGATTACCAGAACAGAGCTGCTCCTACACTGCCAAAAGACTGAGAATATCGACTTTCTAGAGTTGCTAAGTACACTTAAGGTGGATAACACAGGATTCTGCAAACATTTTAAGTGAGACTTAGGACTGGCAAGAGATTACACACAGTAACAAACCCCAACAGAAAAGTTTGAAAGTTGAGTATCAGCAAGTAGGATGGGGGAGGAGAAATGGGCAAACAGACATCAGGCTGCAGCAAAGAGGTATTGCGAAGCACAGTTCTAAACTAACTGGGAGAAGGATTCAGCAACATTACTTCTGCAATCACCTGGTACAGGTCTTTCCTATTCAGTAATGACCAAGGCAGTTACTTTGAACTAAGTACCTAAAAACAAGCTTCATATCTTTCTTATTAATATTTCTGCATCCCAGAAATTAGCAATTGCTTCTGCACTGGTTGCTTTGGTAGGAGTCTGAGTGACAGACTGAATTATTCCATTATATTGAGGTAGACACAGTTTATCACTAAATAGCAATTATCTATACTAAATATCACTATCAATAACAGTAAATGTGAAAAAGGGGAAACTTTACTACCTACTTTTGGGGTTTTTTTTCTTTTCCTTTAAGGGGGTTCAGAAAAGCAGAATATAACAATTGTATTTCACTATCATTCATAAGGACTACAATCAGCTCTCATAAAAGTTTTGAGCAAAATGAAGCACTAGAAAAGGCAAGCCACATTAACCTCTCTTCACCAAAGTCAATGTGATTACATTATGGAGCAACACATTAGAGCACAATATACTTGTAATTTTTCACCCAGACTCAGTTAAGGTCATAAAACTTTATTTTCCAGACTAGAAAGGCAATTTTTAAAATATATTTTTCCAATCTGTATTTGCTACCAGTAGGAGGAATGAGATATGAGTAAGGAGAATTAGTAAATACCTCAAATGGAATTTTTCAACTTACACCAGATATTATTCTATTATAAATATACAGAATACAGACATTGAAGAGCTTTTACCCTGATTCCTGCACCCTTTGTTGCAGAATGTAATTACAAGAAAGTTCCCCCAGTGATAGAGCCAACTTAAGAATTTCTTTCTTCACTTTCCCCCAACTATTCAGCCGTTCATTATGCCTACACACTGAAAGTACAAGAAACTAGCAGAAAGTGAACAAACACACACACACACCCTCCCCAATAATCACAGGCCTTTTTTTGTAGGTTTTTAAAAATCAGCTGGTCTCAGTGTGGCTGCATGAGCAATTGTTCCTGCAGAATAGCACACGCAGTGGTAATTTTTCAGACTGATTTGCTAGAACAGCCAATAGTGTCATCCCTTCAAATAAATCACTGTAGCATTCACATGACGAAAGAATGAAAAAGAACACAAAGTTCCCACTGTACTTGCATATATCTAGGGACTTACTGTCACTTTCAGATGACAACCTAAAAAGAAGTCTGACAACTGGCACCAAAATCCTTACATTAAATGCTCTCACTTATCCTAATCAAAAAATATTTCACAATTGGCATATATCTTTCCCTCTGAAAAAACTATCACCTCTCCCTGCCACTTGTCTTCATCATCTAAAAGATCATGGTTAGATACCATGGTAAACAACACACCAGGCACAAATAAAATCCCAGACTGCAACAGCACTGTGCTGTGTGCCAGAATTCACAACAGGAACAGTTTATCCATGGGAGTCATAAGCACTCAGTGTGACCTCCAGTGGACTTAATAAAGAAAAACATTAGACAGAATATATTAAAATACATTTCTGATGAAATTGAGATTTTTAAGTATTACCTGCAACAACCCCAAGAACCAAGTCTTTTCCAGTGGTTGAATGCTGACCTTTGACCCAGAGAGCTTTAAGACTATTAAATGTATAAAAATAAACAAAATTGGAGCAGCAAAGGCTGGAGATAACAGGGAACCATCCTCGATATGGTGCCAACCTAATGGAAAGGAAAAAGCCATTGTAAGGATCAGTGAAGTATTCATAGGATCTGGTTGATTTTACATGTTGGTGGAAGCCCAGAGATCTAAGACTGTATACTACACACAATATTAACTAGATATGTCTTTGTCATTAAGGGTAACAAAAAATACTAAATTCTTGACTGTACCATAAAAAAAGCACTTATAAATATAAATTATAGTAATCAGGAATACTTCAACTGAAAAGGAGCTGTAGAGGTACAATATATCCAGCAGATGAATACATGTTTGAAGTACGTATGCTACCGTACAGACTGCTACGGTCAGTTCAAACCATATACTAAAACATACCAAGGCATGAGAATTCTCCTCTGTGTTGAGAAACGGAGTTATCAGTCCAATACAAAAGAGAACACCTCAGTAAAGAGATGCTCACATCTCCAAGGAAACAAAGCAATGCTTAACATAGCTGGAAAAAAATTAACAAAACTACTCCTTCAATACAAAATAAAAAAAAAAAAATCTATAGTGTGTCTGGGTTCTTACATAAAATTTAGATGGAAGACTAGTTACTGAAATCAATATACTCCACCACAGACAGTTCTCCAAAGGATGCAGTCATGAGAGATGCAGGTGGCAGGAATTTCTAATAAATGCCTTGCATAAAGTCTACAGCAAACCAATCAGGTAAGTGAGAAAAAGACACTACCTATTTAAATTTAACTAGATTAATCACACATGAAAAACTGAATATCCCCTTATCCCTTTATTATCAAAACCAGGACAGATTCAGAGCTATCTTATTTTCCAGGTGTTGTGAATAATTGTCATTGTTTGTGTATCATTAAATCAATCTTGACTTAAGAATGATTTCATAACAGCTGACTAATAAAGCTTCCTTCTCTGACAGGCCTGATAAGCCTGTAAAACAGGGACACCTCAGAAAACTGCCCTACATCCCCAGCATGTTCTATAATACATCCGAAAAAAAAAAATTATATGCACCTTCACTGAAGTTGCACAGGATAAATAAAGAACAAGTACCACGTTAAGAGCACATGAGAAATCTCCTCAATGACCAGCAGTAATCACAGAGGCTCTTTAGAATTCATGATCTTGGGAATACAGAGAATATGTCTCCCCAGGAAGGAGATGACAAAAGATGCAAGGCTGGTAAACACAGCACCGAACTGTTCTTATGATGTAAATGCTAGTTTCTCATCTTGGATGCACCAAGTGCTTCTCACTCCCACGTAGCTGAAGATACACCACGTTATTAGGACTGTTTCTGAAGTTACAGGCTTAGCTAACCATACAGTTACAATTACAAATTAACTGGCTATACTGTTACTCAGGAGTAGAGGTAAAATTATTTTTGCACAACCTGTCTCTTCTGTACTGGAAAAGAAAGGGACAAACACCCTGTGGGGACCATGTCCGCTGAGAGTGTGAGTTTGGTTTTGCTTAATTTATTAAGAACTTCTGATTATTATTTGCAAAGGAAACATCTTGCAGTATAAAACATGAAACTGTAACAACAACATAAGTTTATTTTAATGATTTGTCAGTGCTAGCACCTGTAATTCACATACAAATACTTCTGCACACAAACAGAACCTAAGTTTGTGATCCAGACCACAACCTTGAGAAGAACTCAGTGTACACCAGCGAACACCTTTCACATCACCTAGAAAAGGAAGAAGGCACAGGAAAGCAAAGCTGTTTCATAAACTCCTACAGAAAGTCCATTAGCTAGACCTATTTGTTTCATGTTACATCTAGATGAGAAAGCCAGTCTCACAACAGTGTAATATGAGACAAC